TCCAACCCAATTAGTAGTAATCAAAACAATTAAACATCAACCCTAAAGGTTGAGAACATTACAAATTTGAACTCAGCAACTATCCCCAATTCAATCCCACAGCCACCAACATATCCCCAGCAACAGCAAGTCAGCAACGACAATTGGCTAAAGAGCATTTGGGTGCGCATCTTCAAAGAAAAATTGTGGGGAAAAATTGGTCAGGCTCGCCCAAGGCTTTTTCTTTTTCATTTTCTCCAAATTTTTCATTATGTTCTCCTTTTTCTCTTCATTTTCCTTCTCTGGCCTATTTTCCCTCTTAAATTTCCCTCCCCTTTTTCTCCCTCTATCGTTTTTCTCAATATTTCTTATCAATGGCCCTTCAAGAATCCTATAAAGTATTTCAAGCAAATCTTTAAAGTAGCCAAAATCAGCAAATACCTTAATATTACTGGCCAGCGTCTTGGGGTGGGTAATGATGAAGCCAAAACGCCGCCGCATAGAATCCTTCCTTGTCAGATTTTCCAGTGCCTCTCACCCCCCTGAGATTGCAGATCAGTTTCAAAGCGGTCAATGAATTGTATGCCCAGTCTAATTCCAGCCGTCCGATCAAATCTTTGGGTGAAGTATCAGGCACCACATGGAAGAAGAAATCCAAACAAGGGTTTCCTAAAGAAATAAAAGTTGCTGAATTATTTTCAGTTAAGCCCATAATCGGATGGTATTCAAAATCTTCTTCTACTACATCAGAAAGGTCAAAATCAGTGGTTTGGTTAATTAGACTATTCTTGGGATCATCTTCAGTGGTGTTGGTGGAGGATGGTGTCGCGTGGTGAAGTTCTGGGGGGTCGAGGAGACGGCAGGTTATGGCCATATTGAATTTTTTTGAGGCCGGAAACGAAATTTAAAATTAATTTTGTTTAGGATCGAAAGAGCTCTGATACCATGTGAAAATTAACAATTAACAATACAAAAGACAGAGAGAGAGGAAAACGAAGGGGGCTAGGGTTTCTACATTGTGTGAAATTAATTGAAAATACAAAGAAGGGGAGACTTTAAATAGTCTCACAAGTAAACAAATAGAATGACAAAACTAC